GATTTGGGTTTCTATTCCCCAGGCCTCCTCGGGCTTCCTGGGGGTCGAGCGCTCCGCGGCGCCTCCGGCCCCCCGCGCCCTCCTGAGTCTCCAGTCCCGGCGGGCGGCTTCGAGCCGCGGTCTTAACTCTTGCGCAGCCGCGAGGCTCCTCTGGACGCTGCCGTCCCCATCGCCCCTTCCGGAGAACCCGGCGGTTCGCCCGCACTGGGGCGAGGCGAGAAAGGAGGCGACGAGGGTCACTCGGAAACAGCGTCGTCTTATCTGCCTCGCCGGCCTTGCTGAAAACTCAGGAAAGTCTGCGTTCAAAATACAGAGGTTTCGGGCATTTGGAGACGAATAATCGTCAAAAACTTTAAAAATGGCGAAACGCTTCTTTCTCCTAAAAAGTAATTCAACATATCCAAACAAATTGGAAAAATTGAAAAAAAAAAAGATCAAAACACCGACTAATTTACTGAAATATATTACGAATTTTAAGGGCACAATTCCGCGAACGTTTAACAGGGAACACGTTTTCTCTGCGTTTCTGAAAGAAGACTGCACGCTTCCTTCTGCTTCTACTCCAGTTTCGTCCTACGGAGTTGAGACTTCTGGGAGTTTACAGAAGGGCGTCAATCTGGCCCTTCTTTAAAAGACACATCATGAAATATTCAGCCTTAATAGTGTGTCATTTTTACCCCTGTCCCTTGGAAATCTCCAATTACAACTTCCAATTCCATAGCATGTTTAAGGAGCACTGAGTCTTTTTGTTGTAGCCTTCAGGGAGCAAACCAGCCACAGAGAGAATACTGAGTTAATCCACTACAGCAATAGAGAGAGGGGATTATGTTTTAATCCCCTTTGGGGGAGCCTCTGGATTTTAGGGATCCGATATTAAAATGTTTACATAAGGCACAATCACAAGCCAGCAGATCTTCCATATGGTACCTGGTTATTTGAAAACTTCCCACCCCTTTCTAAATAAAAATAGTTTTAAAAGGGTAGCATCTCTGGATGCCAGTGAGATGGTGATCTGGCTGATTCTTTTCCAGAAGATAAGTAATTACACATTTAACCTTCTGAAGTTTGCTTGGTGTACTGAGTTGAGGACTGACTATAAATATATCCACCCCAATCACTATGTAGCAATAAAAGAATAAATTGCAACAATGTCCTCAGCACACACAGAAGTAATGATATTAAAAGCAATTAAACAAATGGATGGGCCCAAACCCCTTCCTATTGTATTGATGCATACAATAATTAAAAATTCTACCATCTAAAGTGATAATTAAAATGAAAAAATGAATGTTATTTACTTTTTGATAATGCCTAAAATATTCATCCATTACTATTTTTGAAATAAAGATAGGGATATTACTTGTCACTAATTTAATTTAAAATCTGAAATAGAACACAGATTACCCAAGCATAATGAAAGGAATCTTTAAAATAATTAACTTCTCTTGAGAGCCACAGGATCTTAATCAGTTGAGATGATAAACCTCATCGTGGACCACAGCAGAAAGTACACATGGTTTGTATTTTCTAAAAAGTAGAAAGTTAAATACTTGTGGGTTTGGATTATCTTCCTGACAATCAACATTTAAAGCCTAGAAATCTTAATAATACATTGTCATTTTAGTACAACGTTACAGTTTACACAATTCTTTTACATTTTTACTTAATAGTCCCAGATTCACAAATTTTAAGTTATGGATGTGCCAATGCTCTCTTGCCAAAGACCACTGGGAGCGTATCTGTCATTAAATAAGCTGGGTTTACTGCTCATTGCAATGAGAGAGACTGAGGGTCATGGGAACCATGGGGCACCTTAGAGGTTGTAGTGTTAAAGGACTGGCTATCGGGTCTGGGCTTTGGCCGAGTGACATTGAGAAGGGTCAGGGATGCAAGGCTTTACTTTAGATTGAGCTCTGTAAGGAATCAGGCATTATTTTGTGATTAAGTACCTAACGCTATAAATGAAAAGATGTAGCAGGCACTCCTATTAGCCAGGAGAGGGGGATGTTAAGTATTTTTGCGGTGTGCACAGCAACTCTGCTTCTGTCTGTGCTTAGACAAAATTATGAAGTTGTTTTTTGGCTCATATCATCACCACGTGATCTCATCTGATGTTGGTGTTCTGTGAGTTGTTTATGCCCAACAAGAGAGCACCATGGCCTGTCTGTGAGCTTCAGGGCAGCTCCAGACAATACCGAGGCCTAGATAGAGGTCAGACAAGTTACCAAAGGTCAGGGGCTGCTTTTTTTACCCTCAAATGCAGAAATTAATCATTTTTTTAATGCGAGGGTAACTAGCATTCTAGGGATTAAAAGGCTATTATGGCAATTAAATTTTCAAACAATGCAAAGCTTCTCTTCAAGTTTCAACATAAAGCACAGCAAAGACTGAAAAAAAGAGTTGAAGTTAAATTAAAATTGGCATCGTTAGAATTGTTTGATGGCTCTCAATTGGCAAAAACTATATTTAGGTTATATAAAATTATCATGTATTTTAGAATCTCTTGAATATTTTGCAAGCTAGTTTAATATTAATAAGATTTTTATTAGCTATATGGATTTTCTGCAACCTCAATAAGTTTGATGTAACATGTCTGACTTGCTTTTAGAACATGTAAAATATTGCTATTTTAAGATAATAAACATAGGCTTGTCTTGGTAGGATTATTAAACTTAAAACCCTGACATTATTTGGAAGATCTAAAACAAATCTGAAATTCTTCCTGTTCGAATAAAAAGATTATGTCATAAAAAAATTAAGATAAAAATGTAATCCAGGGCGTATATTTTTACAATTATTTCTACAATGTGATAAAATTTGTAGAGAAATAATTCATAGCATGAGTGACTGAACATATCTAAAATATCAATCACTGCAGTGGACCTAACATTATTTTTTAACGTATGATACTATCAGTGTAAAGAAATGTTCCCCTCATGAAATTAAAAGAATCAAATAATTTAATCTGAAAATAATTAAAATAAATTACTGAGGAATATGAGAAAGTTGGAACTTTGTTTTGAAAGTTTTAGGCGTTAAGAAAAATGGAGATGCTTGGGTATGTGCCTCAGGGAGAAGTTCTCAGAAAAATGCTGCAAAAAATCTTAGATTTCTATTATCCAGGATGGTTCCCTGGGTTTCAGGCATTTGAAGTGCCTCCAGAAAATTAAAAATCTATCACAAAATCTCTAGACAGAGATTGTTTTCTTTATATACAGAGAATATTGACAGTAGTCCAAATAAATTATCAGAATAATGATACTCTGACATCTTCAAAAACTTTTCTTGCGTGGAAATAGTTACAGGCTGCTTCTGCTACAATAAAAAGAAACACTTGCACAACTCATAGAATATATACCTCAAGGGTTATGAATTTACATTATATAGCACTACTTCCTCCCCAACATATTCACACATACACAAAGCTCCCCAAACTATTCATTAGAAACATTCTGTATACTCAAATTTTACACAGAGGTTCACTGTGCCCAAGACGTGGTCTCTTGATGCTCTTTGGTAACTTCTTGAGCATAATCTATTCTAAATGTTGAGATGAACAATAATTAATTATCCTAATAGTTCATGGCTTCCTTAGATTATTATTATGGAAAATGAGACAGATGCTTAAGAATACACATTGATCTTTTGAGATCTGAGTAAACTTACCTCAGGAAAAAACCCAACTT